TGACCATCCTGAGAGGTTTTCGCCACTGGTACATAAAACAGCAAACTTGTGGACGTTTTTAGGGAGTGGCCATTGACTATTTGCGGCAGGTCACCAATAGCGGTGGTGCGCCGTACTCCAATGTACCTCCCATAATGACGATGATGCGTCAAAGGTAGCCTTAAAAAGGAGGGGGGGGGGGCGCGTACCCAAAAACACCCCGTTGAACTTTACAGAGCAAAGTCAAGGGTCTTTGCGCCACATCAATCATTAAACCCACTCAGTTTTGTTGCCGACTCCAATGTGGATTGGACCCGCTGTCCGTGACCTCATCGCCTTGAGCTGCCTTTTGGGAGAAACCGGCCGAGGGAGGAAGGCATACGGGTGCCCAAGAATAGTTTCTGCATTGAGCAGGTGCGCAAGTGTTAACGGCAGCGACACGCAACAGCCGCCATGATGGAGTGAGTCTTCTTACTATGGCGCCCTCCCCCACTCGTCACGGGCAAATGGGAATGCAGGGAGAAACAACCAGCCTCCCTCATTCCCTCGGTCCGTCGACACCACGCCCATTTGCCATACATCAGATCTCGCCCACTGTCAAGCATCCCACAATGCACTGCATGGGGGAGGCGGTGCCATGCTCTGACATAGATTAGGCCTTGAACTTTAATGTGTCAAAGGTGCACGTATGCACACAGGGGAGTATGCAAAGTCGGCTTGGGTGGCATTTTGTGGCCCTGCAGCTGGATTTTAGTCCAAACTCAAAGCGGGAAAAAAAAAGAATAATTAGTTTTGTCACCTACAAAGTCTAGCCTTTAATCTGTTAATATATAATCTGCTAGATGCCAGATAAATGCAGAAAAGCGCTACTTTGGTGTCAATGAACCTCCCCAACTTACTTCATTCATTGGCACCAGCAATTTTTTCATACAAGACAGGGCTTTGGTTTGATCACAGAAACAGCCAAGGTGAAGGAAAGGTATCTGCAGGTATCGAATCGCAAACAGGCTGGGGAACGCAGACGTTGAGCCAACTACAAAACAAAGTGAAGCCTGTAATTTGTAACTACATTCACTCGCTTAGTTTTACAATTTTCACCGGGACACATACTAGGTGTCCTGCTTGTTAAAATCATGTGACTTGCTGGATTCTGATTTTATAGTGCTACACTGCAGCTCATTTCATTTTAATGGCCCATACTTTATTTTCTTTTTCAAAGTAAAGGTACATAGAACGCAACCTTTTATCTGAACTCCCATCTGTTTTAAGTGTGTAATTGTATTCAGTTAGTTTGTTTTTAGCATGTTAAAGTAAGATTTTCGTAACTAAGACTCAATTTATTCTTCTGACAAACCCTTGAATAACCATAATGGCGAAGCATCATACTTATGATTCGTCATTTTGGAAATGCGCCTACAACCACTGGAACGTTTTCAGAAGAGGCCAAGAGTGGTTCAACCATAACCAGATGTGAGCTACTAGCCGACAAACCTCGTAGCTGGAAGTGATATATTAAATATGACTCAAATCCGAGTTTGAGTCGAAAGTGGTAATACCGGAGTGTAAGGAAACAAATCACGTCATTCGTTGTCGAGTAAAAGTAAAGCAGAGAGGTTGCTGGGTAACGGTCTCGAAAATCGCTAGGTAATGCTAACGGAATGCTAGGCTAACCGCTAGCTGTCAACTGGGAGGTCCTCCAGCGCTCACCTCCCTTGCAGGGCGTCCGGTGCTGACTGTGCTGGGCGCGGTATCCCTCCACCACCTCCCATTCGCCGTTATCTCGTTTGATAGGGAACGACAGGCTGAGGACGTGGTTGCACGGCTTGATGATGCGCAGGATGCCTCGCACGCGGTGCCGCTTCTGCTCGGGGGTCTCGCGGGTCCGTAGGTCCTCCACCAGCTTGTCCTCCACGATGGCGGCGCCGCGGTCGAAGAAGCCCTCCACCATGCGGAAGAAGTTGGGGTCGTCCGGCTGCTGCTCGGTCGCCGCGTCGGCGTAGCGACGTACCCGCAGCAGCGAAGCGGACGCCGGGAGAGCGGAGTCCACGCAGCTGGAGGCCAGCGCACTGCCCGCCGAGCGGCTCAAAAGCTCCCCGAAGTAGCGATACATGACCGCGGCGAGAGTCGACTGAAAGGCGACGAGGACGAAAGGAGGTCGAGCTGCGGTCCTGTGGACGACGACAGAGAGGAGAGAGCTGGAGAGAGAGACCGAGGGGCTCCTCACCGTGTCGCGACCTCCGAGCGAGTGGGAAGTGACATACTGGGCGGGTTCGCTTTAAAAGGCGGCGGAGGGCGAGCCGGGAGCAGAGGAAAAGAGGAAGGAGGAGGACCCAGCCAGACGTGCACGCTCCCGCTTGCGCCACAGTTGACCGTGCGCGCTCCCGACTCTGCTGCGGAAATCCAATCGGGATTTATTCTCTTAACTGTTTTCATGTTATTGATTTCTTTCTTTGAACTGACTTCATTTTCATGCCTGATTTTTACTCACTTTGTACTTAGGTTATGGTTGTTTTCAAAGTACTGGATCAATAAAGTTGAGTTGGATATTCGTGGTGAATTGAGAAAGACAGGGCGCCCAAATACCGGAAATTAGCAAGTAATTGATGCCAACCCCCAAAGGTTTGCCATTGACAATACTGCGGCAAATGGCTTATTTTCCATTCGACAAGGCTCTGACCCTTACTTCAATTGAGTTCCAAGAGGCGCCTGACAAAAACATAAAATATTTTTTCAGCAAATAACTACAGATGGGTTCCCCCTAAGTATTTGCAAATGCTGAATTTACAATTTAAACCATTAATATGGGCAGTTATAAATATTTCCAGAAGCATCAATTTCCGGGTTGACTGTACTTCCGTTAATGGGAACATTAATTGCACCTTCTGCCCTCTGGTGGAAGAGCATTGAATTGTTTGGCCTGTGCCTACACATCACTGGCATGAAATAGATGAACAAAGATACTTTATTTGTTGCAAAAAATACTTTATAATACTAAGTTAAATTGGATAATAATTAACTAGTGGACTATTTTAAAACAATTGTGGTATTCAACTCTATTTTTACATATTAGTGGAATATTCACTGGATAATTCATGAATTGATGCTTCTCATTAAAATCTCAATGTTTTCCTTTTTTTTTTTTTGAGGTATAGGATCCATCCACACTTAATCGGATTATGGCAATCGAGGCAACATGTGCAATTGAGCCAGTGTGTGAGAGGTCAAGAGGTCATGGGTGCTTTTGAGTGGTGGGTGGGGGGCTTGGAAGTGTGTGTGACAGCTGGTTGAAGCGGGGAGGTGGCCAGCAAGGGTCTATAGGGGAGGAAAAAGAGGAGGGAGGTGAATGTGGGTGAGCAGGAGTCGCTCTCCCCTTGTGACGCTGGCGGCCTGCTCAACTACGCTGTCAACGGTACACTTGCAAGGCATTGTGGGTACCACCCTTTGGCAAGCCAGTCCCAATTTTTATGCATGCTGAGGCTTGGCGTCGCCTTTAAGGACAGTCTGAAATCTGCGTTTTCCTTCAGAAGACAAACACTTGATCATCGATAACTTCGCTCGATTGGTAAAGAGAAGTTTGCCACAACTAGGATTGGAAAATGAAAAAAAAAAACCCAATTGATCGGAATTGGACTTGACTGCTCCCCCAGTCTAAGCGCCCTTATGTAAGAGTGCATCGATGGCGTGTTTCTGCACACATACGTGCCACTCGACCTCATATGGCACGCAGAGACAAGAAGAAAATTGTACACTGAGATCGCATGTAAAGGACTGGACTTAAACCCGTGGACTCTGCACAGCAGATAAGCACTCGCTGCAGGGACAAACAAGCACAATCACAGTCAGTCAGTCAGTGCAAAAACAAGAACTTGGCAACACGGTACACACATTAGAGCATGCAACGATTTTATTACCTTTTCTTTTTTTACGAAATTTGTCCCAGTTTTCTTACATCTGCTCAAATTTTCTATTGTTGATTATGGTTTGGACCAAACTCAATTTGTGAATAGTGCGCCGTTCTGAGTCAAAATAGTTTGCCATGGACTTGGGTATTTCCTGGAACAACCCATCTTTAAAGGACAACCAAAAGATCAAATGGGGAAAAAAAAGCTTTTTCATGCATTTTTAGGCTCCATGACACAAAATGAAACCACACTTCTTGTCATACCTGTCCTTTTCTTTTAATGAGATGAGCATAAAAATCCTAACAGGATCATAAAAGATAAGCTGTTGTTTCTCTCCAATCAGCTCAACCCCACACGTTGCACACCCCCTCATTGACTGGCAGGATGCCAGAGGGCTGCAACGGCACTGTGCCATTGGCCGAGAGCCTGACAACACCCACCGGACTATAAGGCCATGGGGGTGTGATGATGATAATGATGACAGGGGAGGGGCGGGGGCGCTGTTGTGAGTGGTCACATGCTGCTTTGACCTGAAACAGCAGGAAGCTACAGGGGGGCGGGGAGGAGTAAAAACGGATGGTTCCTCCTCCCTCGACATGCAGAGCACAAAAAAAAAAAAAAGGCAGCTCACGGTACAGTGACAGAATGCACTCAACACACACGCCGTGTGCACACACAGAAGTGTCAAGGCTGTGGACAACTGCAAGGGTCACCTTGAAATCTTGCTTACAAGGCACATGGATGGAGGACACTTGATTTTTGTAGTACTGTGTGTGTGTGTGTGTATATATATATATATA